CCCCGCCTCCGTGGCCGGCCAGCAGGACCAACCATCGAACAGAACGGGACAGAAAACCGCTGGAACCAATCAGATCAAGCCCTGGGGGCGTGGCCTGGCCGTCACTTACCCGAAGGGGGCGTCGCCTGGCTGACGTTCTGGTAGCAGTCGAGCCGCCGTTGCGCCGTGATGGCCTCCACATCCTGGTCGCCATGGTGATCGGCCATTAAACTGCAACAACGGGCGTGACCGCGTCAGCATCCAACCAATCAAACTGCTTTCCACGCGCCATCCATCAGACGGCCTGTCACGTTTATCGCTAATGGGTTTCTCGTTCACGGCCCGATGCGTTTGTGCAGCCGGTTGCCCAACTATCAAAGCGAACACAATTTGCCTTTTTGCTCCAATTATCGGTAAACTTCCCTTTAAGACGACCGCCGACTGCGATGAGACGTGCCGCTTTAAGGGCGGCTTCCATCTGGCGCGCTCCCCGTTTAACGGGGGGAGTTTTCGCCCCGCCAGTCCCCCGAACAACATTCATTTATTATCATTAACGCCGCTAATAATCATCAAAGTCGGCTGCGACCGGATTAATCACCCGGAGAGTGACAGCTCAATTATATGTTTGACAGCTAGTGTGGCGGCGCAGGGTTGCCGCCGCCTCGGCAGGCTCATCCCAACTGGATATGTCGAAATGGGGGCCATTAAAGAGTGTAATTTAACCGTTTAATTGGCCCGTTAAATCGGGCCGAATCAACAAGCCCCGTTTTATGTCCGGCCGATCATTCGCTGCGATGATGTTTATTTGATGTTGACTGCTGGCAGTCGATCGCTTTTATTGGATTTGTCCGTGTCCAAGGTGGGTTTTAATGGCTCTTTTGTTTTTTTAGGATGCCGCGCCTGCACCCACCTGGCCGTACGCTGTTGCATTGCAGCCCCAATCCCCGTTTGCTGTCAATGTCAACCTAAACTGGCCAATGGCGCGCTTGTCCTACGGCTGAGAAAACGTGAGTGAAACCTTCTTTCTGTTCAAGGGCCGATTATTTTCACCGTGTTCAATAAAATGTGGTTTGAAACCCCCTAAATGCCGCAGACATCACTGCAAAAGGCTTCTGTCCAACAACCAGCAAACATAACAAAAGGAAAACCGGTCCGGCCCTGTGGGTTTGGAGCGTCACACCTCGAGCCGCCGGTGCGCGGCACGGTGCAACGTCATGGCGCGGGCAATGCGCCCGACAAAGACCGCAACAATCGCGTAGGTCGCGCGCTTATGGCTCAGGCCGTGGCCAGCAGGGCCGGCTTTCGTTTGAATTTGCCAGGTCGGGTTGAATTGTCTTGAGAGCGCTGCTTCGCGCTCGAATCAGTCAGCAGCGGCGAAGGCCAAAAGCGGCCAGTTGTTTATTGTTTCTGGCTAATTAATGCGATGCAATCAAAACAATGTGCCAGGCCTAAACACAATCAGCCATTAAATCCCCCAATTAACGCTCTGTTTACTTAGTTGGCGGGCTTAATTGCGTCTGTGGCTGTCAACGAGCAAGGCCGAGCAGGCCCGAAGGCGCACACGTGGCCAAGGACCGTCGCGCCAACGCCGTGCGAGCGAGTGAGCGACGATAGAGCAGGTAAGAAATTTAAAAAAATTATTCCAAATCTTACCCGAAGGGGCGGTCGAGATCGGGCGTCTTTCACAAGGGACGCGGGCTTGGGGAGCGTGGCGCGTCTCTCATTTGCGCCAATTCGAGCGGCGCGCGGAGCACTGAATGCCGCAAAGCGCGCCCCGTTGCTTGGCGGCGCCTTCTGCAGGCGCCGGCGCCCTGCTGGTATAAACCCGCCTGTTCTGGCCGGCATGGCGAACGCGCCAATCACCAACTGCCGAGAACTTCCCGCATTTGCTTCTACTTCGGGGCCCTGCGGTTTTCCAGCGGTGTTTTTCGCGAACGCTTTTCGCTTATTTATGCCTATTCAAAGTTTTTGTCTGCGCACTTTTTCAAATGGCCCCACTCAACAACTCCCGCCAGGGACGAGTTTAAATGGAAGCCGGCCCTGTCGTGCGACGTCTAAGCTGATCGGCCAGGCCCTGCCCAGCTAGTGCCCTCTTTGTCTAGCGCACTGTGGTGGCGGTGCGCGTATGTCGTGCTGTGGGGTGAAGCTGCAAGTGCACAGGGTTGGACTGAGCCATTAATGCATAGTTTTTCACGTCAAAACTTTTTTTAAATCACGCTACTCAAGTGCTGCCGTTGCAGAAGCACTTGAGTCGAGTCTATTAAGTGCGATTAGGCTGAAGTGGGCTCTTAACCCATGCAGCGTCACATCGGTACTCAACACTTTCCAAGGCTTTGGCCCAGTTTGAGTGCATCCGGCCATGAATCCGGTGGGTGTCGTGCTCGTTTTGTCCCAGTTGGCGGGCGCTCTGGGCGCCTTCCCCAACCCCTACCGCCCGATCGCGCAGGCGGCCCCACTGCTGGAGGATGTGGGGGAGCCGCTGCTGCTGACGCCCTACCTGGCCGAAGGGCGGCTTGAGGAAGCACGGGCGGCCGCTCAGGTCACCATCGAGGCCTTCGCAAGCGTGCCCAGCTACTCGGGCTTCTTCACCGTGGACGCCCTTTTCGACTCCAACCTCTTCTTCTGGTTCATCCCGTCGCAGGGCGACTATCTGAGCGATCCTGTGGTGCTGTGGCTGCAAGGTAGGTGGCGCCATACCCGCCAACGCCTAACCAATTCTGTTCAATTCTGCTGCTGCAGGCGGACCGGGAGCTTCCAGCCTCTACGGGCTGTTCAGCGAGAATGGGCCCTTCGTGGTGGCAGG